ATTATGCCTGATTAGAATTCTGGCTCTACCATTTATTTCATGTGTCTTTAAGCTAGTTATACCACCTCCTCCTCCTCCTCCACCCCTTTTATTTTTTCTTCCTTTTTATTAACCTTTTAACATTGGGTATCAAATCCAGAGCCTCAAACATGCTAGGCCAAATATCTACCACTGAGCAACTCCACCAGCCCAATATTACCTCCTTGAGTCTGTTATTTCATCTATAAAATAGAAATAATAAAAGCGACAACTTCATGGGGGATTCAGTCACATAATACATGAAAAACATTATAAAAGATACTTAACTCAGAATAATTACTCAATAAATGTCACCTACCACTAATTTTATCACAGTATCAAGCAATTTAAAGTGTTTTAATGATCAGTTCTCTCCCTTTTTCTCTTAGAAGTATCAGTTTGTAGGATTGAAGAAATCGATACCTAGCCATATATAAATTCACTGCCATATTTTTTATTAGACATACACTCAGCATGACTTATGCTATATGTATAATTTTAGCATAATATATATGTATACTTAAATAATTAATTCTTTAGATTTGTTTTGATTTTTTACCAAGGTATGAAAATAGAGTGCTGGTAATGTGACTCAGTGGTAGAGCATCAGTTAAGCATAACAAGGCACTGAGTTCAATCCTCTGCACAGCAGAAAGAAAACATAATAATATATGTAGTCTTCTAGAAGTTTTCTTAAAAATCACATGATTCATTCATATTATTATACACAGACTTTTGTTAATCATTTCTGTTGTTACATATTAAGTGATGAAAATCTATAGACTTATTCTTCCTTTTATAATGCTACAAAATGAATAAAATAGACAACATATTTATCAGTTTACTATTAGCTGCTTTTAGAACATTACTTATGCATTCCATTCATTAACAATTCCTGATTTTTACAGTCCTCCTGAAAGTACATATTAATGTATGAATTTTAAGATTTAATTATCTTTTTCAATGTTGGGTTTTGGCTTTGTCAATTAAGTTACATACTGAAACATTTTTCATATGTCAAATATACCAAATCTCAAAAAGTTGACCAAAAACAAATTGAAAACTCAGTGACAAAGGTTTCTTAGAATTTGTAAGGTCCTGTGTTCAATCTCCAACTACAACAACAAAATAAATATTCATTTTATAAAATTTATAAAATAAATATTTAAACTTGTACAACAAATATTATAAATATATATGTTCTTATGTAAATACTGATTTTAAATCCTTTGGCTATATGCCAGGGAGTGATATAACTGTCAAATGATGGTTACATTCTCCATTTTTTGAGGAATCTTCATACTGCTTTTCAGAGTGGTTGAACCAATTT